TCGCAACTTTTTTTATATGAATTAGGTACATTGTGTTTTAAGTTAATCAGTGACAAAAAAGATTTAAACCATTTTAATTAATTAAGTATTAATTTTATTTTCAAATATCAAAATAAAAGCGAAGGTCTGTGAAGGAAGGTCTGTGAAATTTTAAGGTTACAATTATCGTCCGACAAAATACGGCACTGACTGATTTAAATGACGTGAAATAGGTAAATAAACATTTTTCAACCACTTTTTCTCTAAACACAGACACTTTTTACAAAATAGGCCAACATACAATGGGTAAGAATCTTCTTAATAACCTGAATTCAAAAGATTGTTTAAATTCATGCAGAAACGCGGTTGTCAAGCGGTTGTAAAATGTAAAATTGGAAATGATTGGAAAGTAATGTAATGACAGACAACAAGAAGCGGATTACTGCCAGTCGCCAGAAGAGGGCAGAAGCATGCAGAGAGCACAATGGTCCAGCTGTTATATTCTTAGCATTACATCACTTTCCAATTTTACATTTTACAACCGCGTTTCTGCATGAATTTAAACCATCTTTTGAATTTAGGTAATTAAGAAGATTCCTACTCGTTGTATGTTGGCCTATTTTGTAAAAAGTGTCTGTGTTTAGAGAAAAAGTGGTTGAAAAATGTTTATTTACCTATTTCACGTCATTTAAATCAGTCAGTGTCGTATTTTGTCGGGCGATAATTGTAACCTACAAATTTTACAGACCTTCCAACGCCGTTAAAACAAAAAAATGAAATAAAAATATAAAATTCGTATTGTGTTTTAAAAATATCCAACTACTTTTTTATACTTGTCAATGTATAGTTCATTCAGAGAAAACAATATAAATATTTTGTGAATAATTCTTACTCTAAATTGTGATAAATTATAAATTCTTATTACATCGAGTTATTACAAAAATAAGAATTATATAAATATACGACTAAAATTTTTAATATTGTTTATTCAAATAATATATTAGATTTGAATTTATTCAAGTAAGTTGATAGTTTAGAACATATGTTCCATATGTCATAAAATTTGAGATTCCTAATATCATTTTTAGGCATAAGAAATACGTGTTCTTCACAATACTAATATTCGGATTAGATATAATATCAAATTTCAGTTTTAGTGATCTGCTTACATCTTACGTCCGATTCCAGTGATAGTTTATGCCTAAATCTCAGATATAATCTCTAATTTAGAGATTAATTTTTTTCCGTGTAATAAATCAGAATTCAAAGCAGAAATGCAAGAAATCTTAAGAGTTACAAAACAACGGTATCGAAAAAAATTAGAGAAAAATTTGCAAGGTGAACCTGATGATAATGAAAACATCGTGAATGAAAGCGAACAATTAGTAACTGAAGACGATTTTGATTCAAACATCGAAAGCGAGGGCATCAATACTGAATTTGGAGGCGAGGGAGATGTTGAAACTGATGCGAAGAATAAGAGTATAAACTGTGAAATTTCTTATGCATTTTTTAAAAATAATTATTGTTAAGATATAAGAAATATGATACTTTTTTTAAGTCCATTATGAAAGAGTTTAATAAATATTTCGGTCGTCTGAAGGAAATTCGTCTAGAGGACATTTGATGGATAATTTCTTTAAATTTTTTTAAATTATCTCGACGTTTTTTCTGAATCAGCGTATTATTGTATTATTATAATATATATATATATATGATATATATATATATGACAGAGTAGTAGGTTAGACTTACCAAAGACTGAAACTAAAGTATTACTGTAAGGTATATTGTGTCCAAAAATTAGTTTAGAAAAGTCTATTTAAATGTTATATTTATATAGAATGTCGGACGATCTTCAGTCTTTTTAATATCATGTGTTTAAATAATGAATTTATTTAATTTCAATATTTTTCATTGCGTTATTTTGTTCATGTATTATTTTTATTAATTTTAAATAAAAAAATTGTTCATTCCTATTTATGCCTACTTTATTAATAAATAAATTTTTTAAATATTAAGTTGTACTGACATAGAGATCGAATTCAACCTGCTTGCATGAGATCTCATTTAACTCGCATAAATGAGATCTCATCCAAGACACGCATATGATCGTCCATGGATGACGCATCAGCATGTTACTGTGAAATCACGTGGTGCGAATTAATTCGCACGTATGCAGCTCCTTATGCTAGCATTATACAAGCATTTTGTTATCTGGGTATTCTTGAGCGAAGCAATCTCGGGAGGAAGTGTTGGAATATCATATATTATTATCATATATACGATCGTTAAAGTTCCGAATCTAAAGTGTTTTATTGAATTCAACCCGCCCTCGATTTACAGAAGTCAACAGAAAGTATCAATTTTTTTCATCAACTTTTCTAAATTTTGCCAGGAGTCAAAATCAGGGTCAGAAATTCCCCAAATACCTCAATTATTTTTTTGTGTTTATAACATGATATCTCGCTTACAATTTATGCAATACAAATAAAAATAGTGTCATTTCATTGGAAATGAATTTGAATTTGAAGATTTTTAATAGAAATTATTGACATATATATTATATGTAATTTTGTCAAGGCCGGTAAATTCGACAGTTACGTACAAATCACCCATATGTATTATGTACTTTACACTGAAAGAATTTTAGGCAGGCTGCTGGCTTTTCATGTCAGAAATTAGTGCTCCTTGCACAGGGCTCGCAGCTCACCTCAAAAAAGCGAGCATCTACTCCCGAAAGGTGAGCAGCTGCCCCTGAGGAGTTGCTGCTTACCTTTCGGGAGTAGATTCTCGCCTTTTTGAGGTTAACTGCGAGCTTGAGGCAGCGAGCTCTAGCGGCACTCATGTAAAGCCTGCAGCCTGCCCAAAATTCTTTCAGTGTACTTTTAAAAATATTTAAAAGGAAACTATTATAATATAATATGTTAAATTGGTTTGTTTTATATTAACAATATTTTCGAATAGGCTTCATTATTTTTGTATCATAGACATTATATACTTGTGAAAAGTATTACCGGTAATAATTTACCGGTAAACCGGTTTTATATAAGAGTTTTACCGTATTACCGGTAATTGAAAAAGTCGGTAAATTTACAATCCCAAGGTATAGCGAATATTCAGTGGCAAAAAATGTTTAATAACCTAATTACATTATTTTATAAATATGTTTTAGACTTTCTTTTTATCATTGTTAAATAAAATATTTTTTTAAAGTTTATGGCATGATATTTTTATATAAAATGCAAATACTATTAAATAGTAGAAATATACTTTCTTATTAAAAAATTCAATAATTAACATCTTTAATTTAAATAAGTATGACTACAATTTTACTGCACGGTACTGTCAATTTTATAGCTTTTAAATAGGGTAAGTGTACCAATTGCCGAGGGTGTTCCATTTGTCGATGTTACCATGGTAATAACCAAAAAATATTGTCTAAAATGTCTCATTTGTTTGTTTATATAATATTAATATATTTTTTTACATTTATAACGCATAAAAAAATTAATATTTATTATTTTTTTTCATTTACAATGTGCTACACTGTTTAAATAAAATTCAAAGTTTGTTTACTCGACAACAGGAACCATCCTCGACAATTGGTACGTTTACCCTACATCGTTTAAAATAACAAAATCACGTGCTATTGATTAAAATGCATATTCCATCGTCTAAAATATACATCTAAACAAACTGTAAATACTATGCATTAATTTAACAAAATTTTATTTAAAATAATGGCAACCCTTATTTCAAACTAATTAATATTTTTTCAATAAAATTGTATCAACCCTACATCTCAATCATATTACATATTTCATTAGACAACATTATGCTTCTAGTTCTAAATTATGAATTATTATATTTGAAATTATATATTTTTATAATTCAATACAGAAATTATTAATTCAAAAAAATTGAATTCAATAGCAATAGCACTATTGGGCCTATAGTGTTCTATCTATTCTATCTGAGTCTATTGACCCTGAATCTGTTCACCACGTTTGTTCTCTTTTACAATAAACTTTTATTAATTCAAGATCTCGTATAATATTATTTACTCTGCCTAATATACCAATTTGTCAAAAGTACTCATTATTGTTTTCTGTATTATATTTGATAGACCCCCTGAAGAGGAAATCGTAGATGAATTTTTTTATATTAAAAACTACTTATCAGAATTTTTTTCGTTTGTTTAATTACCTACTATTTTAATAAAATCAACTCGATAATGTAAAAGTTTAATAATAAAAATGTTTAAAATCGAGCCCATATTTAAAAAACTGGTATTTTTTTATGAAAAATTTGGAATTTTTGTTAACATTATTAAAAAGTCGAAGAAAAAACACCATCTCTGTTGTCAAAAATTTTCTAAATTCAATAATTTTAGTTATATTGAAAATTAATCTACTTTTGATAACCAAAATTTTCGAAAATGCCTAACACACAAATTTAGTCATTTTAATTAAAATAAAAAATACGTATCTCTTATTTTCCAATGTAGATAGAAAAAATATATATTTACTTAAATTTTAATAGTTAACAATAAATTTCACACGGAATCCACGGAATCGCCCATATAGGTATGCCATTTTATCGACAAAAAACTTACCACTATAATAATAACATTAATTCTGCGCTATAGTTTAGTATTTCTGAAGATTTTAATTATTCTGCTTTCACCAATGATATCTTGTGATGATACAGTTTTTTGTACTACTTATTTATAAACTTATAATGATAATATTCTAGGTATTTCTTCGTTTATCATAGTGAATTTTTTAAACTTATTTTTTTTTAAATTCATATTTATTTTCATACAAGTTTTATAAACATTTTTTAATAAATAAGTATTAATTGTATGATGTTTTTGTTTTTTGTTTAAAAACTAATCCATGTAAATGGATGTGAATATTAATTGTTTATTCAAAATGAATAGAAATAAGAAATGCGAAAGAAATTATATTTATTCTTTAAAACATTATAGATTTTTTAACCTTTACCACTCATATATTTTACCATAATTTACACTTAGAACTTGGATTCATTGGAGTGTCAATTGGACAGTTAAAAGCTTCAGCAAACTCTTCGAAATTTTGAAGTGGAATATTTACACGATAATTGCGAGAGCTACGTCTGTAATAATTTTGCAATAATTCTTTATGCTTTTCTGTTGCATTAAAGCAATGTAACTGAAAATTAAAAAAATGTCATTTAAATTTATTATAAAAATTTCCATTTACAACAAATTATCATAACAATAAGAGGATAAAGACAGTAAACAAAAAGTCTTATTTAAGGAAGGAAAGGAAGTCTTAAACAGGCAGTACTGAATTTAAGCCTAATCTTAAGTTATGATTTTTTACTATAAATAAAGATTAAAATAAAATAGAATAAAATTATTTGTATAAATCTGAATTATTCACTTATGACTAACTTAATAGGACCGATTCGTTCAATAAATTAATTAATAAGCGTTTTGACGAATTCTTAGTCAAAAATACTATACTAGTAGAAAACTACTAATTCGTTTGTTAAGAATATGTACGTATTTCAATTTGTAACGTTTGCTAAATTAATTAGTAGCCTTAAAACATAAATTTGTAGTTTTTAACTAAAAATTAGTCAAAACGTTTGCTAATTCATTTAATAGATCTGTTCTCGTTGCCTGCGCTATTGTACACTTTTATACCGCCTCAAGAGCAGATGTAAAAAGAGTAACGAAATATATAGTAAAATTGCGTCACATCCGGCTATGAGATCAGGTTTATAGAAATGACACTTTTCAAAATTTTGTCAAACCGCCCCCACAGCACCGAAACTTTCCTAAAAATTTATTAAATATTTACTTGCAATATTCGGAATATTTAATTGCAATGTTTATTGAAAGTTGTGTACAGATTTAAATGTCCCGATTAAATAAATGTTTAGCGCGAAGCTTTCCTGAACATGAAATTAAATCTTCGCATAATTATAATTATAATTATGCGAAAATTTAATTTCATGTTCAGGAAAGCTTCGCGCTAAACATTTATTTAATCAGGACATTTAAATCTTTACACAATTTTCACTAAACTTTTCAGTTATATATGAAGAATATTGCAAGTAAATATTTAATAAATTTTTAGGAAAGTTTCGGTTCTGTGGGGGCGGAAGGACAGCATGACAATATTCAATAGTCGGTTCTATCAATATTAGGAGCAGTGTTGTAGCCTATTGGCGGCCAATGGCTGTTTTCGGCAATCACCATAAATAATTCATTATTTATAAAAATTATTAAAATTAAAAATAAGTAATTAAATAAATAAATTGAAAAAATGTATAAAATTAATTTATTATTATTATTATTTATTTTAAAAAATTTATTAAAAAAAATATTTTTTATCTTGGTTGCCAATATTCGGCCTTTATTGAAAACAGATGTTTGGCGAACCCATTAACATCCTAAGCATCAGCCAATATTGGCCTAATATTGACCGCTTTCATTGGACGGATGGACGGCATATTGGCCCTCAATATTGAACCGCTATTGGACCGACAGAAAATTTCTCATTGGGTATGCATTTGAGTGTAGTTAAAAGTCACTTATTTAGAGAGAAAAATAGTTGTATTGTAATAAATTAAAAACAATATTAAAAAATTGAGAAAAAAAGGTTTTTCAATTCTTACCCTTGCAAAAGACAGAAAGAAAATTTTCTTATTGCTCCAATGTTTTAATCCAGGTAATTGGAGTGACTTATTTACTGTCTCGATTTCTTTCAAAGCGGAAAATACAAGATTTATTCCCAGCGAATCAGATAAATTTTCATTTATTAATTTTGTTTCGATTTCCTGTAAATATTTTCAGTTTAAGAAAAAATTTAATAAATTTTAAATATTTATAATTTAGAGTAAAAAAATAGAAAACAAAGAAAGCTATCGAACGTTTATATCGTCTTCTATTTCGCTGGTTTTAAATTGATTATACTGATTAGCAAAACACTCGGTTTTTTCTGCAATAGATTTCCTTATATCTTCCGGCAGATCATATATTTTTCCATCTTTATTGTATTTGATACCTAAAAAATTATGTTTTTAATATTATGAAGTTATTATAGTTATAATAAGTTTTGTAATTATTAATAATTAATACAATATTATTGTAATATTTGTGTACCAGTTGTGTCAAAACCATGTGCCATTTGGTGAGCAATTTTATAACCTATTTTACCATAATTGACTGTACTGGAAAAATGATTATAATTAACATAAATTGAGTATTACAATTACAATAAATATAAAATACAATCCTTTTTTGTTTACCAATAATTGTACCTATTAACTTACTTTGGTTGTAAGACGGAAAATAGAGGAGCCTGTAAAGCAGCAGCTGGGATATCTAGAAAGTTTTTTATTTTTTTAATTTAAATTAAAAATAGGGGAGAGTTGTCAGAGTTGGGCAGCTGTTAGAGTTGAGCAACCGCGTTTATTTCGTTTTATCGCACTAGCGCCATCTATCTTTTTACGAAAATTCTTGCTACTAATGTCAGCCATCTTTTTATATGAGTCGCAGTTAAGTATACGAACCTATACTTGACCATCGTACCACTTTGTGATATAGGCTCAGCAAAAGCTTTTTTGTGGTGTCAAAAAAGAGAACTAAATGTAGAAGAAATGTGCCAAAGACAAAATAAGTTTACAGAAATTCTTCATTAAGATGATATGTGAAAATGTGTAAAGCAATTTGGTGATTGTGTCACGCGTTTGTGTTCTGTGCCCCTATGACGCAAAACGACGCGTGAGTCAGAGTTGGGCCATAAGAGAAATTTTACAATTACAAAGCGTACTTGCAACAGAAATTCATTTTTTCACTTTAAGAGGTGTTAAAAACTCCATTTTCATTGGAAAAAGAGAAAAAAAAAATTTTTGATAACCTTTTTTCATTTTAAAAATTTAAAAATTTTGGATTTCGTTCATGAGGAATAAATTATCTAAAGTTATATGAAAATTCATAATATTGGATTTTATTTTAATTTCATGGTTCCGTTCCTCATTCCCAAGTGTCATTCTATCATTTGAAGGTCATTTTTAATCATTTATATAAATATTTAATTGATTTTCTACAGTGGACCAACTCTGGCGACCATGATCAACTCTGACAACATTTTTTTTTAAATTGCTTATAACTCTGAACCTTTTGGTCAAATTTTTTTACAATGTTCAGCAAAAACATTGCATTTGAGTTGATCTTTCCAAAAATATGCGCAAAATCGCGAAATTCGTTCTATAGGGGAAGTTATGAAGAAAAGTCAAAACTATGCCCAACTCTAACAACACTCCCCTAGTTTTTGTGTTTTAGATTTAACGATATAATGTATAATTAATTAAAGGTATAAGTTATCAATCTTTCCGAATCATTTCTCCCGTTTTTTATGAGTTCTTTGAAAATTTGAAATTAATATTTAATTTCGAAAAATATTTTTCAGAAAAAGCAGGTTTCTGTATTTCTTTAATAGGACGGCTGTGCTGTCAATATACATGAAATCTTAATGAAGCTTTAAGTGGGAAATGATTTTGAAAAATTGATAACTTTTACCTTTAATTAAATTAACGCCGAATGATAAATTCCTTTTCTATAATTATATAATGTATAACTATTACATTTCATTTCTTTTAAACAATGAAAATTACTTACTCAACAAATTTTTTTTTTTGAAATATAAGACTTTTACATGCATAGGATGTACCTGCCAGCTGAAAAAATTAATTTATAATTTAATAATTAACCTTATATGTGTAAATTAATATCATAATTCAAGTTGAATTGCACACATACATACTACAAAAAATATTTGATTTAAAATAGTATATTCCAGTTTAATGTAACTCAAGTAATTGATTACTAGACTATTACACATAGGCACAAAAAAGTGTTTTAGCCGAGACACTACACAAGTATATTCCCATGTATTTTTGCCTGCACGGAAAAAAATTAATCTCTAAATTAGAGATTATATCTGAGATTTAGGCATAAACTATCACTGGAATCGGACGTAAGATGTAAGCAGATCACTAAAACTGAAATTTGATATTATATCTAATCCGAATATTAGTATTGTGAAGAACACGTATTTCTTATGCCTAAAAATGATATTAGGAATCTCAAATTTTATGACATATGGAACATATGTTCTAAACTATCAACTTACTTGAATAAATTCAAATCTAATATATTATTTGAATAAACAATATTAAAAATTTTAGTCGTATATTTATATAATTCTTATTTTTGTAATAACTCGATGTAATAAGAATTTATAATTTATCACAATTTAGAGTAAGAATTATTCACAAAATATTTATATTGTTTTCTCTGAATGAACTATACATTGACAAGTATAAAAAAGTAGTTGGATATTTTTAAAACACAATACGAATTTTATATTTTTATTTCATTTTTTTGTTTTAACGGCGTTGGAAGGTCTGTAAAATTTGTAGGTTACAATTATCGCCCGACAAAATACGACACTGACTGATTTAAATGACGTGAAATAGGTAAATAAACATTTTTCAACCACTTTTTCTCTAAACACAGACACTTTTTACAAAATAGGCCAACATACAACGAGTAGGAATCTTCTTAATTACCTAAATTCAAAAGATGGTTTAAATTCATGCAGAAACGCGGTTGTAAAATGTAAAATTGGAAAGTGATGTAATGCTAAGAATATAACAGCTGGACCATTGTGCTCTCTGCATGCTTCTGCCCTCTTCTGGCGACTGGCAGTAATCCGCTTCTTGTTGTCTGTCATTACATTACTTTCCAATCATTTCCAATTTTACATTTTACAACCGCTTGACAACCGCGTTTCTGCATGAATTTAAACAATCTTTTGAATTCAGGTTATTAAGAAGATTCTTACCCATTGTATGTTGGCCTATTTTGTAAAAAGTGTCTGTGTTTAGAGAAAAAGTGGTTGAAAAATGTTTATTTACCTATTTCACGTCATTTAAATCAGTCAGTGCCGTATTTTGTCGGACGATAATTGTAACCTTAAAATTTCACAGACCTTCCTTCACAGACCTTCGCTTTTATTTTGATATTTGAAAATAAAATTAATACTTAATTAATTAAAATGGTTTAAATCTTTTTTGTCACTGATTAACTTAAAACACAATGTACCTAATTCATATAAAAAAAGTTGCGAAATTAACAAATCTCTAAATCAGAGATGTGAATTTATGGCGTTTTCTGGTATAAAGTTTGACAGAATCAAACACAACTTATCACAGTAATTGTGACTATAATGTTTAATTTAGATACACTTATATTTCATTGGACTTCAAATTAATATTATTTCAAGTTTAGAGATTAATTTTTTTCCGTGTGCTGAATCCGAATCCGAAGTCAAGATTTTCAAAACAGTTTTTTTTTTAGTTACACTCAAAATTTTGAGATAAACTTAAAACCGAATTATTATTATTTTGAAAAAAAACCCAAAAAATAAGTACATTTTTTTAAAAATATTTTTTTTCAGATCTAAAAAAATTTTGAAATCGACGGAATCAAAATTCTGAAAAAGTAAATGGGTAAATCTACAGAACCGGTCGATTTCATGTTACTGACAAATTTTTCTATTTTTAAAGTATTGTATTAATTATTTTCATATTTTTACTACTTTATAAAAGCTCTGAGAATTTACTGAATTAAGAAAATTAAATAAATTTTAACCTTCTTCCCTTATATTAATAATAAAACAGATTAAATTAATTTAGAACATGAAATTTGCAGTGTTACTCAAGGGACTTTTTTCTATCCTTACATTAGGCATAACTATTTTGACATACAACGAAACAATTCTAAACGATGGTGAATTATACTTAACTTTCTGTAGAATGTATTGAAGGCTAAAAAAATATGTGCTCCTAATTACAAAGAAATTGTAGTACAGTTAAATAGTGTTACTCATTATTTTTGAATAATACAATTTCTAGAAACTTTCTATAATAACTTTTGTGGCGTTTGATCAATTAGAATTTCTTACAACAGTACTTATTCGTCTTCATCAGACGAATAAATTTTCGTATTGTAAAATAATGTGCCTTTAGAAATAAAGAAAATATTAAAATAATTATCATCTGAAACTTGACCGTGAACAACTCTAAACTTTGCCTTTTTCTAGGAGCACATCTACAGATTGAAATGAAATGAATTGAAAACGTGCGTGATTATTTAAAAGCGTTATTATAATTTTTGAAATCAGAATTTCTCTATTTTATTTTTTGAAAGTACAACTATTTTACCCACCAAAAGCATACTTAAGAAAGGTTTAAAAAAATTTTTTTGATCTGAAAAAAAATATTTAATAAAAATGAACTTATTTTTTGGTGTTTTTTTTCAAAATAGCATATTAGATTTTGTGTTGATCGAATCGATATTTTGACCCCAGAATCTGAAAGAGCAACCCCCAAAACCCCCTACATCTCATTGCTGCTAAAATTCATTGTCTATAAATACTTCAAATCGCGTATTTAAGTCCAAGTAAAAATTTTGGTCATTTGGGCGTTAATGGGTTAAAATACAAAAATAGAAATTTTCTGCTATGACACTACACTAGTGTATTTCCATATATTTTTTCACTCGCATCATAAATTCGAAGTCAGAATTGCACTCAAAATTTTGAGCCACTTTAAACATATCCTGACTTCGGAATCAGAGTGAAAAATTAGATGGTAGGGAAAAGGTGTACGAGATGATCCTCCTAAGGGAGAATGACCATTATTCAAAGAAAAATCAGCATTTTTGAGTTTGTTTTGTACGAACTAGTAGATAATTAATCCATCTAACTTTTCGGATTAGAAATGTATGCAGCTAATTAATATTTTACAAGTAAATTTAATTTTTCTATAACCTTACAAAAGGATCATCTTGGACACCGGGGTGTCCAAGATGATCCCCCTGGCATGGGCAAGATGATCTGTAGGTTTATCTTACCCCAATTATTGGAAAAGGAGACTAAATTGAAGAAATAACATATATTAATATTAAATATGCTTTATTTAGGTTATAAATGCCTTTGAACACTCACCAAGATTCATTTTTCCATTTTATAATTACGAGGCATTGTCTACAACAAGAAAATTAATAAAATAGATGTAGATTTCAACTTTTTGTTTTAAATAAGTTAGTTTTGATAATAAAAACATATAAGAAGAGAGAAAAATTGAATTTTTTATTAATACTAGAAAATTCACTTTGAGGTGAGACGAAATACATGGGAATCATGGGGGATCATCTTGTACACCCATTGAGGGATCATCTTGCCCCAAATGCCATTATTTTGTAATTTGTTCGTAACTTAACCTACGAGCTCTGTTATTCCATAATACCAATCAGAACACTTAATTGAAGATATACTGAAGCTGTGAGCACAAGAAAAATGGAATTTCAGCTGCTACAACAAAAGTTATCTAAGTACAAAGTTAAGCTTTCCTTAGATCAAAAGTATGAAATTTTTATTTTTTACAATAGAATTTTTTTAATGACGCGTGTTGTCATGACAGTTTGACTAATTCATAGCTATGTCATTGACAACTTATTACCGTATTTGCCTAAAAGACTACGCTAATAGGCTCTCCAAAATTTAAAAGGATCATCTTCCCCCAGGGGATCATCTCGTACACCTTTCCCCTAATAGGGGAGAGTGGGGCAAAATGGGGTACCTTTTTGAAATTGGCTGTTTACAGAGAACCAAACGAATAAACCGATTCAGCTAAACTTCAGAATTCTTCTTTGTACACTTAGCTTTGAGGAAATTATGATAATAGCGGAGAAAAAAAATTTTGAAAGATTTTATATCGTATTTTCTGAGAAAGTGCTAAAATCCCATTTTGCCCCACCCGTGGGACAAAATGGGGTGGTATTAAATAACTATACAAAACATGGAATATTTTTTCAAAATTCATTTAATTCTTGTTGTATGAGATTATAAATACAAACAAAAAGTAGGATTCTTTATGACTATGAAAAAACAAGTCATATTTATTAAAATTTAACAAAAAACATCGATATTGCAAAATATTTATATATCGATAGTGAAACATCGATAGTATAAATGTCTCGAAACAAAAATATCAATTCTTCTGCAGAAAACCTTTAAATATGCATAATATAATGTTTTTAAATAGTTTTAATGAAACGGCGTAGCTTATTCCGGCATGCCCCACACTTAGGTACCCCATTCTGCCCCTCACCGCATATTAAAACAAAATGTAATGTTTCGAAGTTATTGTAATGAATAGATACTGTTTAAAAATTACAATTAAAATTACAATTAAAATTTCTTTAAAATTTCTTTAAAATTTCTTTAAAGTGTAATTGTTTCTAATGTTCCTACAAAACTAGTATACCAATCATGCTTACAAAAAAAATTTCTTATTCTTTAATACATTAATTTTTTCGATTTGTTACGTCACCGTAACCTATTTTCAATAATAATATGTAGAATAATAATTAATAATAATCTTAATAATTAATAATAATAATAATCATGATAATTAATAATAATAATAATTAATAATAATAGTAATAATCATAATAAAAGTTAATAACAAAAATTGTTATTTACATATTATTATAAATAATAACTATAAATATTAATAATAAACAATAATAATCAATAATAAATTGTAAAAATAAATATTAGCAAATAATAACAAAATGTAATAAATAGTTAAATATAACAATTTTAACAACAAACTTTAAGAAATAATAATAAACAATAATAAATTGTAATAATAAATATTAAATAATAGAATTGTAACAACGACAGAATTGTAATAATAAATAATAACAAATTTAAACAATTATAATTAACTAATAACAAAGTTAAACAATTATAATTATAAATAACAAATTATAAACAATTAATAACAAAATTATAAAATAACATGAGTAATAGGGAATGTACACGTGCAATCTAATAGTGAGTCACCACAAGTGTTCCTATAACAAAGGGTTTCTCAAATGCATGGAAAAATGAAACGATTCTTCAAATGCATGGCAAAGTGAAACGATTCTTCAAATGCATGGCAAAGTGAAACGATTCTTCAAATACATGGCAAAATATACAGTTTCTAAAAATACACAGGGAAATTTGGGTATAAGAAGGACCAGACCATCAAACGATCTTCAGTCTAAAAAAAGTTCAGTCTAAGAAAGCAGTCTAGAAACAAGCAGTCAAGAAAATGTAGTCGTCAATATTATAAGTCTCAAATTGAGAAGTGGTGCTCTGCACAAGTCAGTCTAAAAATTTTATCTACAACAAGTGGTTCTTCACGACACAGTGCTCTATAAACCCAGTCTTAGTGGTGATCCTTTACTCTACGTATATTTTCAAAAGTGCATTTTGGAAAGTCAATCTGGAAGTCAAATTGCTGTTATAGTTCCTGTCTAAGGTCACACAATACTACAACCACTTAGTCGCCCATTATTTGACTAGTGCCATTATACCTCAAACGACCAGGATCACCCATTGTTCAAGGTACAAACCACTTATAGACTCATATTAGAAAACACGTGTTCATCTCTTATTTTTCATCAATTTTCTTATTTCAATATATATATATATATATATATATATATATATATATATATATATATATAATATAATATAATATAATAATAATAATAATAATAATAATAATAATATATATATATATATATGTTACCGTCAAACCCCGAAATTAGTCAATACTAGTATTACCTAGTTAAAACTAGTTCTGACAGTGGCCTTTCGTCAATACTAATATTAACTAGTCAATACTAGAATTCACTAAATGCACTTTAGGGAAAACTAAAATTGACTGAGTTTCCATTTTTTTTACGGCTTTTCACTAGTTAAAACTAGAATTAACTAAAATCAATTATAAAATTATTTTTGAATTTTAAATTGTACAGTTGATGGCAAATATGATTACAAAAACTTATTGTTCTGGATTAATGAAAGCACTTGAATGAACTTGATACAAAAACATATACACAAATGAATATAAATACAGAATTAAAACATATATTTTATCAATTAATAAAAAATAAAAAATAACTATTTATTGGCGCATAGGAAACTATCGTGACATCTCGAATTGCATGTATATCCTTTTTTTTACATAGACATCGGTTTGATGTGCACGATTTTTTGCAAGAGCAACGCGTAAATCCTTGAGGTGTTATAGCTGCTTTTCTGGCTGCTGTTCTTAAGCTGATTCTAACATCTGGTACACTCTTAGGCAAAAGAAATGTCTCTTGCCAGACATCGAATTCCGACCTAGAAAAAATAGTCAATTAATATATAATAATATATGTCTGTAAACACAAAATTATTCACAAATTAAATAAAAAATATATGTATAACAAAAATAAGTAGCAAAATAAATAATAAAATATTTTAGAAAAATAAAGTTGTTTTAAAATTAAATTTAAATTAAATTAAAAATTAAAAATTAAATTAAAAATTAAATACCTGCAATAAAGTTTATCGACTTTTCCATTCTTCGTTCCTATTTTGTGTAGATCTTCATTTTTCTCTAAAACGACTCCGATGACATTTCTGAAATCAGCTTTTGCTCGATCGACATCTGGGATTGGAATGAGAACATTATCTCCAACTTTAACAGGAGGATGGGAGGCATTAGAGGCTCGCTTCATTTTTTTTGCCTGATTGTTTAAATTTTCGAAAGCTTTTCTTCTCGCTGATTTGATCTCGTTCCGATTGTTGATGATCTCACTCTCAATCTCGTTCTGTGTCTCGATCATCACCTCGCTGTCAATCTCGTTCTGTGTCTCGATCATCACCTCGCTCTCAATCTCGTTCTGTGTCTCGATCTCGATCTGATTCTCGTCAATCTCATTTTGTGTATCAATATCAATCTGATTATCGTCAATCTCGCTTTGTGTTTCGATCTCCATCAGATTCTCGTCAATCTTATTCATGTCATTGATAACTCTCTGCAGATCTTCCTCCTCTTCTATATTTTCAAGAATATCTTTTGTCAAATTGGACGTTGCAAGACCTACTCTTGGGTCTATCCCGAACATGGCTCGGTAGGGCGATTGTTTTATTCCGGAATGAAATGCTCTATTCTTCATAAATTGAACATATCTTAGACCGTTTGACCATTTCGTCGTCTTATTGTCCAACATCCAGGAAGCAAGCATCTTTTCGATGTCCTGATTGGCTCGCTCCACTGAACCCTGACTTTGGCTATGTCTTGGCTTTCCGTTTACTAATTTCAACTCCAGCCAAAGTGTTGCCAATTCTTTAATAACGGAATTGACGAACTCCCTGCCGTTGTCAGAGTGCAGAATACAAGGAGCTCCAAATGTCAAAAAAATGTCAGTCAGGTGATGTGCTACTTCCTCAGCTCTTTTAGTTTGTAGTGCCCTCAGCAAAACGAATTTTGTTAAATGATCCTGGTAGACCATGATAAACCTGTACTCCCTATCAGCTTGAACTTGCATATCTATCAGGTCCACTTGACACCGGCTATTCATCTCGCTGTGAAGAATTGGCTTCGAAACTAAACCCTTTTTTTACTCTTCTTAAGCTGACACGTTTCACACATGGACAAAAAGATGTTGATTACTTCCGTCGTTACGTTTGCATATTTTCTAGAAGTTTCTTGCTTTAAACGATCTCAACCTCCGTGCCCTACAGCCAAGTGAGCAGCTTCTAATACGTCGAAGATTTCTTCAGCGGGCAGGTAGTACTTAACTGGATCTTTCTTTGTAACAAGTTTTTTAACATCACAAATTTCTGAAACATTAAAACGTTTCAGTCTTCTATACTAAGTAGCGGTTTTTGTTTTGGCTGGTTTTGCCTCTTCTACGTCAGCCAAAATTTCTTTGTATTTTTCAAAAGTGATCACGTTATTCTGGCTCTTTTTTAGGGTTCCGTACACCTACGGTGTAACGGCGGAACCCTATTGGTGAGACTCTGTTGTCCGTAGCCAAATCGTGCCCCCCCCCTAGCGGCTAAACTATTTGACCTAAAGAGCTCAAATTTGGTCCAGATATGTATTTTCACTCGTAGATTACAGAAAAAATATAGCGAATGTGATTGGACGTGATGGTCATAGCGTTGTCAAGGAAATAACAAGATTTTTGGCCAAAAATGCATAAAAAGTGACCATTCCCCCCCCCCTTAACTTCTAAACTATTCGACATGGAGAGCTGAAATTTTGCATGCTGGTGTATTTTTACTCGAATATTACAGGAAAAATATAGAGAACTTGATATGTAATGATGGCCATAGCGTTGTCAAGGAAAAACTAAAAAAAATTAAAAAAAAATTTTTTTTCTCTAACTTTTACATTATTTGACCTAATGAGCTGAAAATTGGTATCCTAGTGTATTATTACAGTCTAACGACAAAAAAATTATTTAAGAAACTTTTTGAAAAAAAAATCAAAAAAATTTTTTTTTAATTTTTTTTAGTTTAAACACGTGGCATTATATATTTTAAGAAAGAGAGTGAAATTTTAAGAGAATAAATGAGAGATTGTTTTCTGACTTTAATTTCTTAACTAAAAAAAAAAAATTGGACAAGTGCGAGTTGTACTCGCACTGCAATGGCGGGTTCCGTACACAAATATTAAAACAATACTTGCAACATTTATCGGTAATTGATAGAATTAAAATAAACAATTAAAAAAATATATTAAAATCATTTGATAAAAAAAATAACTAAAAAAAATTAAAGTATTGTATATCTAATATTGTAAACAATAATAAGCAGAGGAACAAAATTTTCAAAATTATAGTTCCTCTGCTTATTATTGTTTACAATATTAGATATATACAATACTTTAATTTTTTTTAGTTATTTCTTCTTATCAAATGATTTTAATATATTTTTTTAATTGTTTATTTTAATTCTACTAATTACCGATAAATGTTGCAAGTATTGTTTTAATATTTGTGTACGGAACCCGCCATTGCAGTGCGAGTACAACTCGCACTTGTCCAATTTTTTTTCACATTCCGAACTAATAATTTTTTTTAAAAAACTCTCCTTCCAAGCACTAACACTTTCAAGTGGACGATTAACAACACTACTCATGATAAAACTACACAGAACAAACGGGACGATACAAATAGATTTTTCTTTGACAACGGCGATAAACGGACTAAAGAATAATTAAATAATGTAATTATAAATTAAATTACTGTCTTTCCTTCCAAATTAAAATTTGTTTTCATTAGGGTGATGACTCATTACGTTCATTCAAGTGCTTTCATTAATCCAGAACAATAAGTTTTTGTAATCATATTTGCCATCAACTGTACAATTTAAAATTCAAAAATAATTTTATAATTGATTTTAGTTAATTCTAGTTTTAACTAGTGAAAAGCCGTAAAAAAAATGGAAACTCAGTCAATTTTAGTTTTCCCTAAAGTGCATTTAGTGAATTCTAGTATTGACTAGTTAATATTAGTATTGACGAAAGGCCACTGTCAGAACTAGTTTTAACTAGGTAATACTAGTATTGACTAATTTCGGGGTTTGACGGTAACATACATATATATATATATATATATATATATATATATATATATATATATATATATATATATATATATCGGTTCAACTAAAATATTTTCTTGTTTTTACCAAACCCCGTCCCTATTTTAATTAATTTTAAAATAAAATCGGAAAAACACTAGGGATATAATAATTAGGATCGTAACATATCGTAATTATTATTGGTGCATCGGCCGTTGTGAATTGGTAAATGCAGGAATAGTTTAGTTTGAATAAATATAGTAATTATTTTTGGTAAATAAACCGTCGTGAACTGGTAAATGCAAGAGTAGTTTAGTTTAAATAAATATTTAATAATTATTTTTGGTAAATAAACCGTCGTGAAATTGGTAAATTCAAGAATCATTTAGTTTGAGTAAATATCTTAATTATTTTTGATGCATTAACCGTCGTGAACTGGTAAATGCAATAGTAGTTTAGTTTGAATAAACATTTTAATAATTATTTTTGGTAAATAAAACGTAGTGAATTAATTACTTTTTTGAATATATCATTAATTATTTTTGAAGCATTAACCGTCGTGAATTAGTAAAAATCCATATATAATTAATTTTGATATATCAACCGTCGTGAATTAAAAATTAAAGAGCACTTTTAATTAATTTAGATTAATCAACCGTCATAAATTGACAAATACGAGAATAGTTTTGTTTAAATAATCACCCAAATAATTTTTTGTCATAAATTGGTAAACACAAGAAGGAATTTTACGTGAATAAACAAGAATAATAATAATAACAATTTATAATATTTTTGCATTTCTAAACAAATAATTCATATAAAATTAAATAAACATAATTTAATAATAATTAATAAACCAATAACAATATCAAATTTTTGCAAATTTTACAAATTTTACATTTTTTGTACTTAAAAAAAAAATTTTAAATAGTAGGGAAACATATTCGAGGTCAGCCACCTTTTTGACTTTTGTTTATAACTTTTTTTTAAAAATGAATTTTGACAATTGAAGTATATGGTTGGAAAGTCCTGTTTAATAGGAACATCTTTTCTGTACAAAGTAAATTGATTGCTTTAAAATGAAAAAGTTATAAAAATTTAAAAAAAAAATTGTAGTCGAGGATGGTCCTTACAGTCAAGGTCGGCCATGTTTAAAATTCAAAGGGCATTAATCGTTAAAAAATAAAATAACATGTTTGGAGTTACGGAAAATTGATTCTTTATTGTTTACAGTTTGTAACTTAATGAAATAACAAAATAATAAAAATAAACAATATAAAAAAATAAATATAAATAAAAAAAAATTTTGCACTAAAATATAAATAAAATTAAATAAAAATATTAATAAGATGATCAATTATATATGAGTTATACAGAATTGCAGTTTTTGCAAATGAAGTAGCTCGTCCTCATCTTTGCGCATTTTAAACACATAGTGGCCGACCTTGACAGTAAGTAACATTACCGAATTGTTGTAACCATAAAGAAATACGTTTTGGGATTCGATTTTTTACTTTGTTTTTCTTTCAACCATGAGTCCCACAAATTTTCTGCATACTTGCCTTGACGATTCAATTTGTTTTTTTATCTTTTATTAATAGTTTTTCACATTATGCACAAAACTTTTTTTAAGCTTTTTTTGTACCGACGTCACAGAAAACACAATTTTCGATCCTCCGAAAATGTAATTGAACAAAAAGTTAGGTTTTACTAAGACATGCTTCGACAAGCATGCACGTAGGTGGCGCTAGTGAACTTGACAAAAAAACGCAAATGGCCTACCGAGACAGTGGTCCAACCTCGACTATACTCCTCTAATTGAAAATTAAAAGAATAAAATAAATAAATAATAATAAATTAATAATTATAATAATAATAAAAATTTATAACATTTTTCAAATTTTCACATTTTTAACTTGAAATTAAACAGAATTAAATAATTTAGAAACAAAAAATAATAACAAAAAAAAATAATAACAAAAAATATTCTAAACAACAAAACTATAAAAAAGCATGAAATAATTAATTTAGCTTATTTCATTTTAAACCATATTCAACAAAAAAAAATAATTTAAAGAATCAAAACTAATATAAATTTTTCTGTTATAGCGATCTAACACCATACCACTTACATTTGCATGCCAATCTGCAAGACAGAAGTAGTAATTAATTTTTTTTCTGTCTCTTTCTTTTTTCTTATTATAGATAACCAAGAAACCAGCATGATATGGATAAGGTTTATTATTTTTATATTATGTTTTACACCATACTTCTCAAACCATCACAATCATATACACAAATACTTCTACCTAATAATCCCAAAATTTTTTTTTTGAATCAGTTAAAGACATCATCTTTCCAACTAACAAAAATCATCTGATTAGTTATGTAAATATAAACAATATATTAGAATTTGGAAAGTTATTAACAAATTTGTTTAAAGAAATAACCACACAATGCACAAATAAATGCTCCAATGATCATATAACAGAGCAGATTAAAAGTAAAGAATTTATATTGCAAAAAAAATCTAATAGAAATTGAAAACATTCTTGATAATATCAGTAATACAGACGAAAATAAACAAAATTTTCAAGAAATTATTAAAAAAACAAACTATTTGGATCCAATGTCATTTTGGATACAAAAAGATATAGACATTTTTCCGATAGAATTCTCTAATGATATTATTAAAATTACTCATATTAATGGAACATTAAAAAATTATACAAACTTGTTTTATGATTTTCCAGGTCAATTTAAAAAAAAAATTTATAAATCATTCGTAAAATTATAGATAAAAGAATTAAGAAAACCTATATATCAATATATTTACAATACACAAACTCTAATAAATATCATAACACATTCTAACAATAACCAATGGCATCCTACATTAATAAAATCTATATCACAAGAAAATCTTAAAAATTGCATTCAAAACTTCTTTACATTATCAGATTTACTTAAAAATTCAATAATTACAGAATTTATTTTTAAAAAGAAATTATATTTTTCATTTACAATACCTATTATCTCAAAACATCAATATAATATATACAAATTATATTCAATTCCTTCATTTTATAAATTCAAAATATAGAACTCAATATCTTGCTATCAATACAAACAATTAAACATATTTTTATATAAGCAACTTAGTCAAGTCAAATAAAATTTTCTTTTAGTTGCATGTGCAAATTTTAAATATTATGTGTAAAGAGTCAAATATTGTATAAGTACAAGTAAAAAAAAAATTTATTAGATAACAGAAAAAGCATGAACTAAAAATCTTTAAACAACTGCCACTTGTTCTGTTGAACAAGACAAAAATTACATTAAAATTAACATTGAGAAATTACAAAACAAAAAAGAAACTAAAAAAATTAGCGAAAATAATGTTAATACGATTAAATCACAAATATGATTTCAATAATAAAAAGAAGATCTCAAATGTCTAACTATTTTAAAATTATGTATAATAATTAAATTTACTAATTGTAATTTCATAAAGAATCAATCTAATACATTGTAACAATTAACATAACACTTCGATTTTAATAAGTTTTTTAAATTAAGTTGAATTTGGAAATTGTTCAATTTCATTTCCCAATTTCCAAATTTTCGAAGGGGGAGGTGTTACGTCACCGTAACCTATTTTCAATAATAATATGTAGAATAATAATTAATAATAATCTTAATAATTAATAATAATAATAATCATGATAATTAATAATAATAATTAATAGTAATAGTAATAATCATAATAAAAGTTAATAACAAAAATTGTTATTTACATATTATTATAAATAATAACTATAAATATTTATGTGATGTTGTTCCTTACGATCACACAAAACTATTAAACCAATCATGTTTATGGAAAAAAAAATTTTAATCGTTAAAAAATTAGTACCTACAGTACCGTCCGAAATTGTCAGTCCACCCATTTTTAAAGGAATGAAAAAAATTTTTTAAAATAAAATTCATGAAAACTAAAATTTTTTTTGGTTTATATTTTGAAAGACTATAAAATTTTAAAAGAATAAGACCTCACAGAAGTTATTTGGACAAAATTTGTAGAAGATATTCTTAAAAATCGTCATTTTTAATGTTTTACAAAAATTTGAATAACTTCTAAAATAATGAACGCTTTTTAATAATCTTAGGCTTTTTTTAAAGGTCATTTTCTACGGAATAAGAATTACTTATAGGCATTAACCTATAATTTTTTATTTGGAATAAGCATGACGTCAAAGTTGGACAAAAAAATTGGAAAAATTTGAAATAATATTATTAAAAGAAAAATAATTATTTAAATTCAAACATATTTTTTTATTAAATTTTCTTGAAAAATCTACACCATATCATGTTTTATATATGTTCTAGAATAGTTTTTAGTACAAAAAATTTATTTCAAATTTTTCCAATTTTTTTGTCCAACTTTGACGTCATGCTTATTTAAAATAAAAAATTACAGGTTAATGCATATAAGTAATTCTTATTCCTTAGAAAATGACCTTTAAAAAAAGCCTAAGATTATTAAAAAGCGTTCATTATTTTAGAAGTTATTCAAATTTTTGTAAAACATTGAAAATGACGATTTTTAAGAATATCTTCTACAAATTTTGGCCAAATGACTTCTGTGAGGTCTTATTCTTTTCAAAATTTTATCGTATTTTAAAATATAAACCAAAAAAATTTTGAGTTTTCATAAATTTTATGTTAAAAATTTTTTTTCATTCCTTCAAAAATAGGTGGACTGACAATTTTGGCCGGTACTGTAAATAAACAAGAAAGAGCCCGACAGTAATCGGCCACTTAAAAAAGCTTTTAAAAATCGTCCAAAATTTTTTTTCTATTACAAACGTTTAGATTTGTTTATAATCACCTTAGAAATGATTAGCAACTTTCAAAATATTTTTATCTTATACGGTTTTATAGCTACCTATTCAAAATTAAAAAGTGTCCGACTACTGTCTGGTTTACCCTAATTTTTTGAGATTACCTCAAAATTTTGAGCAAATCTGTGAATTCTGACTTCGGATTCAGCAGGCAAAAATACATGGAAATATAATAGTGTGGTGTATCGGCCAAAACACTTTTTTTGTGCCTGTGTTATCAAAAAGATAAAAATACGTTTAGGGTGAATCCAATTAATCACCAATTAAGAATTCAATACAAACAGAAATCGCAATGTCATTTTTACTTACTGTTAGTCTACTAATTTATTACAGCGATGTTAAATGGGGCATGAAATGGCATATAATTTCTTTGAATCAAATTATTTTTATTTACATCAAACATATAGAAAGGAAAGATCTAATCGACGTCTAAAACGTCTTTATGGAGTCTAAATCGAGATCTACATAGACGTCGAAATGGGATGCCAAAAGACGTCTATAGACATATATATGGGCAATTCCACGTGAGATTTAAGTCGACCTCTTAAAATCGGCCAAAAATATTTTTTTTCTATTCTGTATCGAAAAAAAACAGATACGTATTTTTTTATTTATGTTTAATTGTCCAAATCTTCGAGTTATGAATTTTCGAAAATTTTGACTTTTAATTGTAGACCTATATTCAATAGCTGATAAGTCCGAAAATATTGAGTTTAGGAAAAAGTTGTCAAAGAATGAAAGTTTTAGTTTTCTTTCGACTTTTAAGAAATGTAAACAAAAAATTTTTTTAAAAATTTTTTATTAAAAAAAAAATTTTTTTTATAAACAAATTAATTTTTTCTAACTTTGGGCCGGATTTTTTTTTTTTATTTTCTTGTACTTTATAATATAGAGAAGATTTTCCAAAAAGTCCTGAAATGGGCCTGATGTGTTAAATGAGTTTTAAAATATTTTCAAAAATCACTTGCAAGCATCACAGTGGGATTTTTTTTACATTTAACTTTTTAAAACTGTTTACAGCGTAGACCCTTTTATTTAAAACAAAGAACACTCAAATATATTAAAAATTATACGCTGTAGACAGTTTTAGAAAGTTAATTGTAAAAAAATCCCACTGTGATGCTTGCAATTGATTTTTGAAAATATTTTAAAACTCATTTAACACATCAGGCCCATTTCGGGACTTGTTGGAAAATCTTCTCTATATTATAAGGTACAAAAAAATAAAAAAAAATAAAAAATAATCCGGCCCAAAGTTAAAAAAAATTAATTTGTTTATAAAAAAAAATTTTTTTTTCAATAAAAAATTTTTAAAAAAATTTTTTGTTTATATTTCTTAAAAGTCGAAAGAAAACTAAAACTTTCATTCTTTGACAACTTTTTCCTAAACTCAATATTTTCGGACTTATAAGCTACTGAATATAGGTCTACAATTAAAAGTCAAAATTTTCGAAAATTCATAACTCGAAAATTTGGACAATTAAACATAAATAAAAAAATATGTATCTGTTTTTTTCGATACAGAATAGAAAAAAAATATTTTGGCCGATTTTAAGAGGTCGACTTAAATCTCACGTGGAATTGCCCATATGTTCTAGGTGTCAAAATTGTTTATTAGACGTCTATCGCGCAGACTTCGAATAGACCGCACTCAATTATTGCTAGAACACAATTGATGGTATGGTGTGTTATACACTGAGAGACCTTTGGGTCAGCAGCAGACTTTCGATAGGCTGCTACTGACCATTTTGGAGGAACGCTACAGGACTATACTTTTGGGTTGCTGCGGTAAAATCTTGGGCGCGTGACAGTCCAAAAGTTGTTCAGCTGCAAACCAAAGGCGACATTCCCACTACTTCGGTGAGCTGCTCGCCAACATTTGGGACTGTCACGCGCCCAAAATTTTACCGCAGCGCAACAAAACCATAGTGGAGCTGCTGTCACATACGTTGTTTCGCTACAGTCCCAAAGGTCTCTCAGTGTATGGTATATGCTATATGTTATAGTGTTGACTGTATGGTGTGCTAGAGAACGCCATTTAACACACCATTCGATGTACAATGGACGATTTAGACAATCTATTCGATATCTAAGTACTCGAAAATACGTCGAATAAACTGGCACTGGTACCTTATTAGATTATTTTCTGCAACAATTTCTGACATTCATGAAAGTTAACATTATGTATTTAGACCTATATAGACTCCCCTCAAGTTCTTAGATGTAGAATAGATGTCGGTTAGACCTTTCGCATTCCTCGCTGGGAAGCATAATTCATATGACTCAAATAAAATTTAATTTTTACAAAACAAGAAATATTTATTTAACAGTCATTTAATATTATTTAAATCAAATGAATTATTTCAGAACATTAGATAAATTAAAAATTGATAAAGAAAGAGCTGAGAAATTATATTATTTAATTTTTATTAATAACATTTTTAAAGTCCAAGGTTTAAAAATTTTTTTTTACAAAAATATACTTTACTCTTTAATTTCCAAAGAACTCCTGAGATATTGTAAAGCTCTTTTAGCATTAAGTCTCTTTATACTTATAATATTTTCCATGTACTGGTTTCCAATTACAAGCTAAAATAAAATAATTTATTTGTAACAAGAATAATATAATAGAGTAAATGCACTAGTAGTCGGACACCTAAGGATACATACGATCTCATATTATGCTTGTTTTCTTGAAATAGCAAATAGCTACTGTTTTTTTATAACAAATACTACAAATACTTAAGTATTTAATAAAATATAAGCATTTTAATGAAAAATTACGAAAGCTTCAGTAGTCGGACACTTTTTTCTATAGTTGTACATTTGTCAGATATTTTGGATTCATAAAGTAAAAAAGATAATTTTTTAATTGCTTCCTGTTGAAAAATTAAATTAAAGCTTATTAGATGTTAATAATACTTATAATATTTAAATCCTATAAGTTTTAATATATATGATTAATATCAACAAAACTTTGAGTTACTCATTGCGCTACTCGAAAATGGTTTGCATCCATAGTCGGACATTATAATTTTTAAAATAATTAGTAAAATATTTCTTCTTTGATTATAATGTAAAATAACTCTTTTTTAATAAAATATAAACTTCACACATTTTTCCAGTATAATATTCTTTAACCCGTTGACTGTCGCTGACGCATATGTGACGTCAGAATGTATTTTCTGCCTATTTTTTTTGTGTTTTTCTTTCTTTTTTTTCGGCATTTTTTTTTTACTTTAAGTTTTGTATACATATATATATATCAAATAAGATAAAATAGTAGATTTTCTTTTAATTATAAACTCTCAAATATTGATTTTTCTTAAATGAGATTTTTCTGGCCAGTCTCATCTTTGAAACTTTCGAAAATAGAAAAATCAATATTTGCCTCTCAATATATCTTAAAATTACATTTAAGATATTGTGAACAATACAAGAGAGTAAGGCCCTTTTTGGTCTAAATTTGCGTAGACGATCCCGGCGCGATAATGATCGAGCGGCGGCAAAAGGGAAAAACCCAAAATTCGTTTGTTGAACGAATTTCTCTTTTCCATTACGTAAAAATCAAATAGACCAATTTTGCGTTTTTCTTAGTTTTATTTAAAAATTATTGTAATTTATTAAATAGAATATTATTAATCTTTAAACCATTTTTTTATTTTATTTTTTTTTAGGACATTTATTCAATTTAATACAATTTTATTTGTTTCCTTTCTTTTTCTTTTTTAGTCATAAGTAAAAACTTTAGTTTAAAATTAAACATTTAAATAATTGAAAAATTCCCTTTCAATCAATAATAAATTATTGATTTGTTTGAACAGTTGTTTTTAATAAATTTAATATAAAAAAAAGATATATTTAAATCTATTCCAACAATTTACCTTTATGAAAATTAAATTAAGAGATAAATAAAAATTATTAATTATTAAAATTATTAAAAATTCAATTATTTACTTGTTTAAACAATATGCTATTTAGAAATTAAGTTTTTAACTAACTATTAACTAATTTATAAAACTACGAAAATCTAAAAATTATTAAAATTAAAAATAAACTCTAAATTATTAAATTTAACAAAATTAATCATTTAATTAATAAAAAAAAATATAAATGCCTACTAAAACTTAAGTAATTTAATTTAATACAATTTATTTAGTTTTAATAATTTTTTTTTAGCAATAAATTAATAATAAACGTTTTAATGTTCCATGTTTACGAATTATTAATAAGTTACTTTAAGTAAACTAATTTCGAATTGTTATTCAAAAAGCGTATTATAGAAATTAAATAAGAATATTATACTTAATGTAAAATTCCTTGATAATTTCTAAAAAAAAGGTTGAAAATTTTAAACTATGAATTTTTCGGAAAACCTAACAGAGTCTCCATCTTTTGTGAAAACTCGAAACTTTAGCCCCTCTCTAAAAATTTTCAAATTCAAACGCCCACGAAAATTTTGGCAACTTTCTAAGGGACGAAACTAAGGTTCCCAATCGTAGGACCCACACTAATGAGTTTTTACGCCTTCTTCTTTTCTATTTGACGAAACAGAATTTTGCCATGCCCATACTCTTCCACTAGAAAATTTAACCCCCAATTTGAAAAACTTCAGAGGGGATAATACTATAAAAATTTGAACTCTAAAAAAAAAGACACTCTCTCTCAATTTTGCATCTTTACCTTTAACATTCTCTTAAAGTTCTACAAGTTTTCACAAAAGAAAGTTTTTGAACAGTTTTCAAAGTTAAACAAGTTTTTGAACAGTTTTCAAAGTTAAACAAGTTTTTGAACAGTTTTCAAAGTTTAACAAGTATTTGACAAGTTCTTATCAAATTACAAAGTTTAACAAGTGTTTCAATAATTAAAAATAAATTTCACAAAGACTAAAACTTTTAAACAAGTTTTAAAAATTAAACTAGTAAAAAAAAACTATTTCCTGATCTCCACCAACAAATTTTGGAAGAAATTATCAAGGAATCGACGAGGAAAATTCTTTGCTGCCTGTTTTGTTTACTGAGTTAAAAACTACAATAAATAAAAGTAAGTTTAATAAATCAATGTAAATGTAATTAATTCACTTGTTTACATCCATTTTCTTACAAATTCTACTCTCTTCTACTCTTTACATTTTTTCGTCAGAAATAGAAACTTGTAAACTCGAGTTTCATGATGACATTCGAATTTTTGAATAGGAAAAACTCGCGGTTTTGATAATGTATAGTTGCTAACCTTATTTTACTAAGCGCGTAGGCTATACATTTCAATTCTCTTTTCGTTAACTTCTTTTCTTCCTTCCTTAATACATATGTTTCACACTAATTTTAAGACAATTTAATCTATCAAAATAAGATCAAAAGATTCCCGAACTATTAGACTTTATTGTCTTGGTTCAAACAATATGTTAATATTTTATTATTAACAACTTTTAAATTATGTTATATCTTCGGACGTAACACATATATGCGCAATTAAGACGGACAAAAAAATAAAAAATTGATCAGATTGACTTGAAACGTAGTACTCAGGGGTTTTTGGGGTCGCTGATTACGAATCTGTCATTATTTTTTCAAGGTATTTATCGAAATTTGATTTCACCAAAAATTATCATACTGATGTCAGATTAACCAGTTTCAAAGAAATTCAATAAATTTAAAAAAAATTTCCGCCATATTGAACCATATATTTTGAATTTTGAAAAACTGATTTTAGATTCGTAATCAGCGACCCTGAAAATCCCCAAGTATTCAGTTTCAAGCCAATCTTATCAATTTTTTATTTCGTTGTCCGCCATATTGGATCCGCCATTTTGAATTTTAGAAAACTAATGTTAGATTCGTAATCAGCGACCCTTAAAACCCCCGAGTAACAAGTTTCAAGCAAATTCGACGAATTTTGAAAAAATTCCGCCATCTTGGATCCGCCATTTTGAATTTCGAAAAACTGATGTCAGATTCGTAATCAGCGACCCCAGAAACCTTAGAGTACCAAGTTTTATAAAAATCCATTAAAAATTTTTTTAACACACTTTTGGCCCAAACAGTGGAAATCTCGTTGACAGCCAAGGGGTTAAAGTAATTATCACAATGCATTTATTATTCATTTAACAAAAAACACGAAAGTGTCTGACTACCGGTACTGACCGACTATACCTGCACTTACCCTATATGAATTATAAAAATATCGATTTTTTGAAAAAGAAGAATGAATTTGAAAATGTGATAAAAAATTTAAAAAGTTTTATTATATACCCCTTGATACATTTCGATTAATGATGTTTCATTTGTTATCCATTGAGGAAAACCTATATTGACTTTCATATTTTCAATTTTTTCTAATTGATTATTTTTTGTCTCATCATTCAACCAATCAGCTTTTTCAATGTGCTTAACCATTTCTTTTTGAATTGATAAAAATATTTTCTTAACCTGCAGGAATAATTCTTTTCTTTCATTAATGCACATTGATCAGATCATACTTAAATAAAAATTATTTTTATTTGTATTCTGTACTGGATTGGTAAGGGAAATCAGGGAAATTTCAATCAGGAAGTTATATTAAAATTGCTAAAAAATTATCAAACTTCTAGAATTACTACAAAAATTCTGTTTTTTAGTACCGTCATCCGGGGCTATTTTGTACACGCGAGGTTTTTAATAAATAAAATCTTAAAAATGAATTATTTTAATATGTTTTTTAACCAAAAGTTCGACAACATGACAATAGGGGGCACTAAATGTTGTTATGTAATTCTTTGTCAGTTGACAGAAAAAATTCTTAAAAACGGAAAAGTGAAAAAAATTTTGAATGTTAAAATCAATCAACACATTTGTGTCATCGTCAAATGTCCGTCTAGAATTACACAGCACCGAAACTTTACTTAAAATTTATTAAAGATTTACTTGCAAACTTCAAAGTTTAAGTATTTATTTTTAAGTATTTACTTGCAAAGTTTAGGGAAAATTGTGGACCGATTTAAATGTCCCACTTCAATAAATATTTAGCGTGAAGTGGGACATTTAAATCTTTAAACATATTTCACTAAATTTTGCAAGTGAATTCTTCCAAGTTTGCAAGTAAATCTTTAATAAATTTTTAGAAAAGTTTCGGTGCTGTGAGATTTCTGAAAAATTATACCAGATCCCCTGAGTCAATTGTGTTGTGATGACATATACATATGCGCTAACTTTTTATTGATTATTTTAAGAGAAAAGTAGAAAAGACTGAAAAACCAGGATTCTGTGGCACGGTAAGTTTAAACAAATTTTAATTTTTTTTCATACCACCCGCAATTTTTTTACACATTCTGTTTCTGGAGGGTTCTACGAGTAAGACGAGATAAGAATTAAAATCTGGTGACCAGCCGTTTTGTAAAAAATTGATTTTTAAGTTTTTAATATATTTCCGCAAGTGCGCTATGAGTGATATTAGCCATATAATAAATAAACCCTCTTACTAAATAACAAAAAGTTTATAGAATCGTTATATCTATTCATAAAACTATAGATAAAATATTAGGAATAAAGAAATATACATTAAAATTTTATTTTTATTAAAATAAAGATAAATTTTGTACACGAAATTTAGGAAATTGTAGGATCTAGGAGTATGAAAATAGGGTCTACGAGGTTTAAAAGTACTGTATAGGTTTCTTAGAAGTAGACCCTACTTTACTACTTCTAACACTCAACAGACCCTGAAAATTCAGGGTGAAAGTAGGGCTTGAATTTCGACTCGGGAAGATATGATTGAAAAAGTGATGGCATGTTTTTTTATAGTGTAGCGTGTAATCGTCCTGATACTCGTGGACGGAAGTGTATAATGTAATTCAAGAGCTTATTCAAGAAATTTATATGTGAGCAATTGATTCGGAAAGATTGTTAACTTCTTCTAACTTTAATATAAATAAGTTTATAGTAAAACAGTTAAATAAGGCTTAAATTATAAACATGTCTTGTCCAAGTTATGTCCAAGTTGTGAAATGTAAACAAACAAAAAAGTAAACAAACCAATCACTAAAATCACAATTTTGTAACTGCCTTTTCTCCCATTAAAATTAATATTTTTACACTTCCTTTACGAAAGTGGCAAATTATAGTGTCAAAGTTTTCAATGAAATTATATTTGACTATGAGCAATAAAAAACAATTATTAAAATAACAAAATAAAATGACGACTAAAATAGCATTTTTGACGCGTCGCGAAAAATAAGCTGTTTAACTATATCAACCGCACGGACGATGAAGAAGTCCCAGTTAGCGATTGGACCTTCAGCATGTGGAAAGGGTAATTTTTCCTTTACTTTTACTTCTGACTAAAAATATACACCATAAATTTAGTTTCTACTACTGGTTTGGTCAAAAAATTTGTAAATCAATTTTTTTAACGAAAATAAGCAACAGTAGAAGACCAAATAGTGTACATAGCATTTTTGGTGCTTCTCATTTTCGTACATAAATATAAATTCATATTTTCTTTATGAAAATGGTGAACTGAAGTGTTCAATTAGGTAACTACACCTAGCATAACTAAAAGTATAAGAAAGAAAGTAGTTTTATTATAAAACCAAATGTGCAGTTCCGCATGGTTCTGTCAATGCGTTCTTAGTACGGTAAAGAAGTTTTTACCCTTTCCACATGTCGAACGTCCAATCGCTGACTGGGACTTTTTCATCGTCCGTGCGGTTGATATATTCAAACAGTTTAATTTTTGCGACGCGTCAAAAATGCTATTTTAGTCGTCATTTTAATTTGTTATTTTACTAATTGCTTTTAAATGCTCATGGTCAAATATGATTTCATTGGAAACTTTGACACTCAAATTTACCATTTTCGTAAATAAAGTGTAAAAATGTTAATTTTAATTAGAGAAAAGGCTGTTACAAACTTGCGATTTTAGTGATTGGTTTGTTTACCTTTTTGTTTCACAACTTGGACATGCCCAAGGAATATTGAATATCAAACCTTTAGCGAAAATTATACTAAAAATATTAACTTGTAATGTTCAGTCAATATTTTGACAATATTGCATGCGATATTCGTATAGTTTTAAAAAATTGCGTCTACTAATATAAACGTATAAACTAATTATAATATTTTCTAAATAGTGACTAAACATCGCAAGTCAACATTTGCAGTTGTTTTATTTTTAAAGAATTTTTGTATTTAATAAGTTGTAAGGAAATTATTAATTGATCACAGACACTATTTATTATTAAAATATAATCTTTGTTTAACACGAAAAAGATGTAGAAAAAAAGTATAAAGTAACTTGACCAATGGTCAATTATATGTAGTTTTTATACATATTAAGCGAAATTTATCTGTCGAGTTTTTCTAAAAATATTAAGCGAAATTTATCCGTTTGAGTGTTCTTTTTGGTTAGAAGAGTGTTACTTTTGAGTTTTTAATAATAAGAGTGCACAGTTTGTTTTACTTTAATAATTATTACTCAGTGGGCCTTTCTCTGTCACCACTCCAAATATTAACCCGAAATATTTTATCCTCTCAAGATGAGACGTAATTTCCAAACCGTTCAAAATCCCTTTTTGCGAATGCTTAAACAATTTTTTCAATTGAGGCCTTGGATCGAATAACTCGCCCGACGTTCGGAGGAACGCGCAACTGCCAGTCAGTGAGCAGTGAGTGCCTCTGGGCAATTATTATTACCAGGGACCGTCAAGGAATCAAAACAAAATTAAAAAATACTTTTGTTTTGATTCGGATATGGGTACACTGAGAAAAATAGAGTTTAAAAAACTGGGAGTCAATATTGAAAAAACTGGACTCAGTCCAGTAAAAGTACATTAATTCATTTCCATCAAGCATCTTAGAGTGTTGCGTATAGTGTTTAGAGGGCCTTAGTTCCAAATGTCACTGTAAAGAGCATTGAAACACAGGCGAAGATTATAAGGCGCGCTGCAGTGTGCATAGTAGAGAAACTGGACTCAGTCCCCTACTTCGAAATTTTCACAATAAAGGAACGCAGGCGCGGAATCTGTCAAAATAAATGTCCGACGCGACGCGAAACGATTGTTTCCTTGTATTCACTTCGTCAATTTTATATAAAAAAACAATAACCAATCATTAAAAAAAAGAAAAATGTGTTAACTCTTTGCCGTACATTAGTTTTCCCCACCTCAGAAACAAGCAGTTTGACAGTTGAATCACGTGGAAAATATCAGGGCCGAATGTTAGTTTGATTTTGAGGTTATGTTTACATAGGATATTTATGTTTGATAAAAGTCTTTAACAATCAAATTTACCATTTTTAAATTGTAATAAATTGCAAATATACATTTACACTTTACACAAAAAATCGTATTTTTAGTGATCAATTAGTATAATTAAATATAATTTATTGTAAAATATAAATGGGTTCCAATTTTGAGAAGGTACGATACTGCAAGTTTAGACACTTACATACTCACACATAACTAACTTATCAACACAAGCATAAACTCCTCTTCTCATTGGCTGTTCCCCCAAAAAGGACTCTAGACGACATTTCGTAACATATGAACGGCAAAGAGTTAAATGCACTCTTTATATATTCATATTCCTTAATTCACAAGTTTTATTCTTCCCACATCTTCATACTTACAATTAACAACTAAATGCATCGGAAAATCTTACAATCATACGGAATTGAACATCTACCTAACCATACAACTAAATATACACATAATTATAAATCGCACGCTTTTACATTAAGCCTCTCGGCTACGCAATCGATGGCGGAAATTTCCTATTTAAGAAACATCCCTTACCAATGAAATAAATTAGATCATGCGTGGATTTTACTTTGTAATTAATGTAAGTATGGATGTCAACAATATTCATAATATTGAATAAATAATATTGTCAACTAGTTTAAATTTGATACGGTTATTAGAATTTAATAATAAATAAATAAGAAACATTAATTTTTTCTTAATAACCTTGAAACCTTTTTTAAGTTTGACAGTCCTCATGGTAAATTTGATTATTCTTTTTTTTTCGTGTACAAAATAGTGAATTGACCTAGAATGAAATGTATAATTAATTATTCTCACAGCAATATTTAATAATTTAATGAACTTAACTGCACTGCATAATAGTTGAGAGTAGTAAGAGTAAGTGAAACGGTAAGATAAGTGAACGACCATTAGTGAGAGAGAGAGAGAGAGAGAGAGAGAGAGAGAGAGAGAGAGAGAGAGAGAGAGAGAGAGAGAGAGAGAATAACTTGTGGTTTTCGAGTAGGTATCTACTTTATGTGCACGGCGTTCATTTTTCGAAAGAACTGGACTGAGTACTATTTGTTCAATATTCGCTTCTATTATTGACTTGTGTTTTGTACACTGCCGCGTTCTTTTAACAATTACATGAGAAAGTAATTTCTCATTCCAATTTTTTATACTCTTATTCCCTCTTAGACTATATAAACAGTCTTGTTTAAGCTGATGAATGGGATAACTTGTGTTGAGTCCCAAACTGTTCAGCTATGAAACTTCTAATACTATAGTGTGTACCTGTCACATATTATTCTATAAAGGAGTACTACACTGACTGCATAAATCATTTTTCCATTTTTCTCCGTGTATCAGAATCAAAATTCCACTCTATTTAGTTCTGATTCCAATATCAAAATCAAAAATCCATTCTATTTCGTTTTGGTTCCAATATCAAAATCAAAATTCCACTGTATTTCGTTTTGGTTCTATTATTATTATTTATTAAAATTTTGCAAAATTCCGAGAAGGGCGCGGGTCCTAGAGCGTTTCTCTATATTTTCCAAAAAATCCCGACTCAAAATATTCTTTTCTTTTTAAATGAGACGTCCGTCGATCACAAAAACCATTTTTTCTCAGCAATTTTTTTTTCTTTTTTTTATTCGATTAAATTATGGATAAACTATCCAAGAATGATATGTAAATACTATTTTGTCGTGGAAAATACAGTAAATTACTTTTAAAAAGATAATTTTAATCTTCGAACGTATTATAGTTTCCCGGTAAAAAGCGAGGAATTGAAAAGGATTGAAATAATTCAAACTCTGTATGGTGTAGTAGAAATTATCCAATACTTTTCTATACCATGATAGGACCACGCTTCGTCTAAAAATGAATGCTATTCAATTCTGTTTGTAATTGTTAACAAAGACAAAATCTTTTTCTGAATGCTTTCCAATCCCATCCGAAATTATTACAGCCTGTCATTACATCACTTTTCAATTTTTCATTGGAACCGCGTTTCTGCATGCATTCAAGCAATCTTCTGGATTTTTGTAATTTACAAGATACATACATTGGAAAATTTTGTAAAAAGTGTTTGTGTTCAAAGAAAAACTTGCTGAAAAATTGATTGTTTACCAATTTTACGTCATTTAAACGAGTCAGGGCCGTTATTCTGTTAGACAATAAATCACAACCTAAAAATTTCAGAGACCTTTAAACACTTTTATCCCTCTTAACTGATAATTTAATAATTATTCCTTTTTAAAATAGCAAATAAAGTCATGAGTGCAGTTATTTGAAAGTAATTGAACATATTGTATGCAATGTCAACAATATTAGTATTATATTATTATACTATATTTGTATGAGCATTTGAAAGGATTGAAATTGTAAACTTTTCAACTACTGTCGCGGAATTCAGAAGCATAGGACAGAAATGGTATTCAAAAGGATAGAATTTTTTAATGCTTCTTAATCTTTGCTTTCTTACTGGGTTGTTAATCATTTTTGGGGGTACAAATCAATATAATTATGATGTAAAATTTAAAGCATAAATATAAATCAGCGGTTCTATGGTGCTGGGATTGCAGAGTAAAAGGGGAAAAGTTGTTAAGTCACTATTTTGAATATTTCATATAGTAGGGGAGAATAGGTGCGGTTGTTACGCTGTGCACTTGTTACAAAAGGAATATCTCAGAAACAGTTAGTTATAAAGATGGGGTTCCAAAGAGAAAAAAGTTTAGTTTTTATGTATGAACTTACTGCAATATGTTTAAAAATTGTATGCAAGCTTTACATGTAAAAAATAGGCACATTGGTTTTTAGAGGCCAAAAGTAAATATTTCTTTGCCTGATATTTTTTAAACTCTAATCACAGTAACTGTTTTTATCAAAATTGAAACAACTGCACCTAGTCTCCCCTAAATGCGTCCTGAAATTTTAAATTAGATTTAATATTGTTATTAACAATTTAAAGACGATTTTCATAAAAATCTATGTCGACGTCAGCATAAAAAGGGACCACTTTGTCGGTTCTAGATTCCAAGATAATCGCTATTTACTAATTTTTAAAAGAAATATAAATAATATTTATAATAATATATAATAATTATATTATAATAATTAAAATAATATAATATTATAATAATTATAATAAATTATAATAAAAATACTAAACTTAAAACAACTCTCATCTAAATAACTTTCTAGAAGAACCAGAGAAATTCGCATTACAATTTTTAATTTCGTTTTTTTAGAAATGAAAATTTCGATATTTCCTAAGATTATATTCACAATATAGTCCCTTAAAAAACTTTTTTATATGTATCTACTTTCTCTTTTTTGCTTCAAATAACTCAAATCAATACTACCTAATTTTGATTAGTATTGATATATCTAGAAGGTGTTTACACCGTGTGGTATAAATTTATTCTCTGCACGCATAAACGGAAATATTCTCCACGAGCATATATTCGCGCCTGCGCAAACACGTGGTCAAGGCAAAGCCTTTTACTTTTTTTACTACTTTTTTTTTTTTTTTAATTTGTTTCAGACAGTTGCATACCCATCCTTGGACACAGATCATGGCTGTATGTACAAAGCCTTAAATGGCTAGTACGTTGCCAACGTCACCATATAGTGTTTTCTACACTCTATGGCTAAAGAAGAAGAAGAAGAAGAAGAAAAAGAAGAAGAAGAAGAAAGCCTTTTACTACACAGCTTTATACCACACGGTGTAAACACCTTCATAGATATATAGATTATGTGTATCATTTGTTATAATTAAAATTCTTTTTCTATACCCCTGTAAAGTTTGAATCAATTTTTTGCTTTTAAAAATAATTCTTTTTAAAATTGAATTCTTCTTGATTTTTTTAAATTGAGATCAAGAAAAATTCAGGGAGAAAAAAATAAAAAATTTTAATATAAATTGTATTAAATATTACCTTGTCCTTGCTATCAATATTCATATATTTTTTAGCGTACTCATAAGCAAGAACTCGAGGCATTTCTAAATTTCTTATACAATTTTGCCACCTGAAAAGTAATTCAAACAAATTTTTCTTAATTTCTTAAAAAATTTGAAAGTTCAGAATTTATTTTTATAATGACCTTGGTCTATTTTCGATTCCATCTTTATGCTTTAACATATTAATTCTTAGAGCTTCCATGAACAATGTTGTATAAGGGAGAAGATATGATACAAAATGCCAATGCATATAATTTGCTGGAAATGAAATATTTTGTTTATTAAATCAGGGGCTGATAGTAAAAACGAATTAAAAGAAAGTTCGGAGAAAAAATGAGTTGATTATGTTTCAGAGAAAAAAGAAGTTTATAACTAATCACGAAAAAAACGAACCACTTGAAGTTTAGAACAAAAACGGCATATCATTCTATTCTGTTTTTACTCGTAAACAAAATTTAAGCTGTTTTTCGAAATCGGAATTTTCTAATTAATGAATTAATTCGAATTTAAGTAAATGTGTACTTGGGCTAAAATTCCTAATGTATAATTGAGGGCTCGGATCGAAGAACCGACGCTTCGCAATGTTTTGTGCGTTTACAAGCGTCGGTTCTTCGATCCGAGCCCTCAATTTCCTTAAAATTTAGCATTTTTTTATTTTGATATTATAGATTTCTTAAATTAACTTTTTAAAACCAAAAATAATTGAATTTTCATTATGCCTCTTAATTTATTATATAATTAATGTGGCATTCCAGAAGAAATTTACTACTTTTCGGAGTACCCTCACCGATTTCTTTCAAACTTGGTAGTATTACATTTGTTGGTCTAAAGTTTCAGAAAATCAATTTTTTAAGTAAAATCAATTGTTTATTTAAAAGTTACAACAATTGCTCAAAATCGTTCAAATGCCCATATCTTTTAAGCGGTTCAAGATAATTGAGTTTACTTTTTTGCTAAAAATTCATAAAGACGAGACGCTTCAAAAATGTTATTAACATTTTTTTCTTATTTTGTTAATTAAAAAAGTTATTTAAATAAATAATATTAACTTTTGATCAGGAATTCAAAATTAAATGACTTACGAACCAAACAATTCCTTGTTTTTCACACTTTTATATTCCGAAGAAAAAAAGTTGCTAGAGTTTTTCAATAACTTATAATTTAAAAAATGATTCGCTTGTTTATAATTATTTTGCAACTAAATGATCATCTGTTCTTTCCTGCGCGTGACTACTGCTACGTCACGTCCGTCTGCATATAATATATTTGACAAGCGTGAAAAAATTGAGGTTATGTTTAATCAAAACAACGCATTTCAATCTTTTTAAAGTTTTAGGATATCAGGATATCAATATCCTGTATAATTAGCTGCCCGAATGGCTAATTATTTCAAGGGAAAAAGGGGAGGGAAGGATATTAATTTGACAACGGAATTACTTAATTACACATTTATTTAACTTACGTCGATATCCGTAGCGTAATCTCACAGTATTCACTAGCCGACAGTCAAGGCGATTAACAGGGAAGGATGCACGTTGTCACAAAAACGAGAGCTAAATCACAAGTGTCGCGTCTGTCCGCGAATCTGGCGATTGACGCCCTCGAGGCCCTTCGGCCGTTTCCGGGTTCAATCGCCTGATTTGCAACAGACGCGGGAGAATTCGTAACGCCACGTTACACCTGATTTAACTTTTTTTCCATGACTGCTAAAAACTTTAAAAAGATTGAAATGCGTTGTTTTGATTAAACATAACCTCAATTTTTCTACGCTTATCAAAAATATATTCTGAGTCAGACGGACGCACCCCTCTGAAACGGTAAAGTGCAAAAGTCGCTTGCTGGGTGTAAAATCATGATACCTCGGATTAGCGTTGAAAAACATGATACCTCGGTTTTGATTTGAAAAACATGACATATCGTCGTTTGGTTTGAAGAACATGACACGTCGAAAACAAAAAATTTTTATTCAAATTTTGGTTGGTACCACTGACCGCGAAATTTAAAATGTGTCAAATATTTGAAACTTATATGAAATAAATAATTTCGCTTCATAATATGTCAGGTCGAAGGAGAATAAGGTAAAATAATTTTTTATAACAACAGTTACAATTCATAAAAATATCAATTCGAGAAATGCAAGTTAGCGAAACAACAATTACCAAAAATAACAACTCATAACAAAACAATTTCGCAAAAATTAACAATTAGCAGAAGCATCTATCAATTCTTTAGACTGTTAATGCGAAGAAAGCAAGTTTGCAAAAATAACAGTGAAAAAATTAATATTTTGTAAGAATGGAAATTTGCAAAAATGACAATTTACAAAATAACAATTGGCGAAAATAACAATTCTGTGACTTCCAATTCGCTATAAATCAAACTCTTTAAATTTAGACTTGAAATTCCACATAGAACTGAATGTATCCCCGATTCAAATTAAACTTAGCTTGATGATTTTTAATTTGACATGTCAAGTAGAATGTAGTATTCGAGAATCCAAATTGAACCAAGTAGATACTTAAACTTAATTTTTGTATTTGGAATTGCAAGCTGATACTTTTAGTATGTGCGAACTTGGAAATGCAAGTAGAAATTATAAGATTAGAAATCCATGTTAAAACAAGTCGAAACAAAAATTGAAGAGGACAATCCAGAATAAATCCATTTCAATTTTATATTGGATATTCATTTCAGTTACATAAATCGGATTTCGAAGTTAAAACCAGTAGACACCAGTAGATCCATGTTCAATTTCTACTAGTCTCAACTGGTTCTTTAATATAGGGAATTAAAATAAATTTCATGTCGTGAAATATTTAAAATTATACACGGAAAAAAAAAGTTCACGAATCTCTCGTGAACTAGTATATCACTTTTGGATGGGACACAAAATTCTTGAAAATCAACAAACACAGTTCGTCAAAATTTTATCAACTCCTTCACTAGAAACATAGTACGGTTTCCGAACTTTTCGTCAAAGTTAACGAAAAATTCGTGAACTTTTAAAAAATGCTAAAAACAAGAAAAAATAATTTTTAGACACTACTTTTTTATAGTATTTCACTTAGGGCCGTCCATAAACCACGTAGCCCCATTTTTTGGGAATTTTGACCCCCCCCTCCCCCATGTAGTACGCTATTACATGTATTAGCGCCATTTTTTCCTCTTGTCGTAGTCAATTGATTGACCCCCCCTCCCCCTCAAGAGGCTACGTGGTTTATGGATGGCCCCTTAATTTGATAACTTGACGCCTATTACGCACCCAACTACACAGAATACACAATTTTATCGCCATTAAAATTCGTAATTCGCTTCATGGGATTCGAACCTAGTACCTATACCCTATAACATAATGTTTCTAACAACTAACCGCCACGGCTAAATCTAGATACACTGTCCTTCGACAAACGAAACGATTAGCTTTGTCTGCTGTAAAACTCAGGACCGTGCAAAGTAGAAAAAGTCCCTTATCTTAACTTTTAATTCATTTTATGAATTATTTGTTTCACAAAGGAAATTAGCAAACAAAAATATTCACTAAGTAATAAAAAACACTGATTCTAAATAATAACTTTCATCAAAGAATTTGCCCGAATGTAAACACCGATGACACCGACTGAATGATGAATGCTTGATCAGCCATATTTGATGCGCATTACGAACTGCGCATACTACTGAAACTCGCGAGTTCACGATTTTTTCGTCAACTTGTACCTCTACTTTTGACGAACTACTCTTCATTAACAGTTCATCAAAAATTCATTAACTTTGTTTCAGTTTTTCGTTGACGTTCGCCATTTCTAATCAAAAGTGAATGAAAATTTTGAAATTTTGTGTCCCATCCAAAAGTGATATACTAGTTCACGAGAGATTCGTGAACTTTTTTTTCCGTGTATGAGTAAAGTGCAAGATTTTACTTTGATTTTAATCTCTTATCATATATTTTTTAAAAATGTAATATAACAAATCATTTTAAATTTCGCGGTCAGTGGTACCAAACAAAATTTCAATAAAAAATTTTTGTTTCGACGTGTCATGTTCTTCAAACCAAACGACGATATGTCATGTTTTTCAAATCAAATCCGTGGTATCATGTTTTTCAACGCTAATCCGAGGTATCATGATTTTACACCCAGCAAGCGAAGTATGGTGAGAGGTGACTGGGACCACTAGGGGCGCTAGTAGAAAATGAGTCTACATACATGAATGTGACTGGTTATTTAGGTTGTCCATAATCATAGAAATTTCAAACAACCAATCACATACCTAGGCCTCATTTTCTACTAGCGCCCCTAGTGGTCGTCAGTCACGTTTAGCTTACTTTTTAACTGCTCGTGTCAGTGGGGTGGACGGACGTGACGTAGCAGTAGTCGCGCGCAAGAGAGAACAGATAATCATTTATTTGCAAAATAATTGTAAACAAGCGAATCATTGTTTAAATTATAAGTTATTGAAAAACTCTAGCAACTTTTTTTCTTCGGAATATAAAAGTGTGAAAAACAAGGAATTGTTTGGTTCGTAAGTCATTTAATTTTGAATTCCTGATCAAAAGTTAATATTATTTATTTAAATAACTTTTTTAATTAACAAAATAAGAAAAAAATGTTAATAACATTTTTGAAGCGTCTCGTCTTTATGAATTTTTAGCAAAAAAGTAAACTCAATTATCTTGAACCACTTAAAAGATATGGGCATTTGAACGATTTTGAGCAATTGTTGTAACTTTTAAATAAACAATTGATTTTACTTAAAAAATTGATTTTCTGAAACTTTAGACCAACATATGTAATACTACCAAGTTTGAAAGAAATCGGTGAGGGTACTCCGAAAAGTAGTAAATTTCTCCTGAAATGCCACTAATATAAACTTGATATTTAAAGAAGTTTCTTAAATGTAATTCATAAAAATCAATTTTTTAATAGTCTTATGGGGGAATCAACTTAACCCTTTCAAGCATACATTTTTCTAGTCAATGAATTTAATAACCAAGAACACTTTAGGGGGTTTTCAGGGTCGCTGATTAAGAATCTGATGTCGGATTTCTCATATTTTCAAAATTCAAAATGGCGGACTTATTTTTTTTAAATTAATTAAATTCGCTTGAAATTTGTTACTCGGGGGTTTTTAGGTCCTTGATTACGAATATGAAGTAAAATTTTCAAAATTCGAAATTTATAGGAATTATTAGTTTTTAAGTCAACGTATTTTCGTAATTTTAATTCATCACAAGTAAAACAAAATTTTGTAGTTAACTATAA